TCTTTAAGTCAAGGTCATACCTGAACTATGTGATAAGTAGCCATATATCAATTGATAACAAACTTTTATTACCCAGCAGAATGAACTTTTTACCCTCATCTTAACTAGTGTATAACTTGTTTTTGATAGAGGTTTGTTAGTTGGGCTTAAATACTTGACACGTTAAGATTTATGTTGTGTTATGTTGTGACCAGTTTCGGTTAAAATTTGTATTTTCTTCAAATTGTTGAAATTCAAGTAATTCCTTTCCCTGGAAATACAATATTGGAATTTATACTGAATTCAAAGCTGGAATAATAATTTCTGTGATTCAACAAGAGACTTGACACAGCAGCACTAATAGCAGGATATTAGTAAGTGTATGTGTATATATGTGTGTGTGTGTATATATATATATATATATATATATATATATATATATATATACACGTGTGTGTGTGCGCGCGCGCACACACGCACAGTCGGATTCGGCCAGTGTGGGTATTTGAGTAAGTTTGTTAGTAACCTCTCGTCAGTTGGTTTTACTTACCGGGATTATCACGGGTTCTTTCACCACCAGTTATATTGACCGGCATGTATAACCTGGCATTATATAAATGGCGTTAAAACTACAACATGTATGCTTGCAAGTGGATATGGTCAGCAGGTTTCTCTATTCTTAGTGATAGTGTTCATACTTTACTTTGAATCAGCATCATTTGTACAAACTAGACACCACCCTACCAGGATACTTTAGGCAAATTTAGTCAAATTATGTTAACCAGTTTATTTAGCAAGAAATCGTTTTAGGGCTTCTCTGATATAAATTGCAACAGCCATATCTGATGTCGTACAGACTTTTACTGATCTTCATTAGTTTGGTGTTCTGTTTAGTTTTGTCAAAATGTGTTTAGGATTTGGAGAAGTATTCGTTTAAAGTTTTTTGTTTTTAGAAATGATGGCCATTTTGAAATCCGATCAATGGTATTAACACGAAAGACCTTATTTTGACCGGATTTTAAGAAAAGGCTTCGCATTTTTTTATTGTTTCAAGAATTGGTAAAATACATTTGTGTAAATAAACCTTTCAAAATTTGGTGGACTGAAAATCATTTATTGCATATTTCCTTTATTTTTGGAGAGATTACAATTCAACCAAAAACTATGTAACGCTAACGCTGCATATTAGTTTTGGTAGCTACAGAGCAAGGAACGCCAATTAACCCTACTTAGAACGCATTAGCTGTGACATTTCAACTCATTAACCCTTCCAGTATACAACCAACTTGCATCATCAACCTGCAACCAGTTTGGCGAGTTTAAAATAAAATACTTGGTAAGAGCACTCTGTCAGTTTCTGGTTAGACCGATCATTGGTAGTTCATAAAAATAAATGAGTTCTGAAGCAGTAGACCGATTAAAACCCGTTTGAACTCCACTTGTTCCTATGCGAGAAAATCTCTAGAATACTGATGGATTTTGTAAAACAAGAGATCTTTTTAATCCTCATCATACCCCTAGCAAGAACATCCCTAGACAACTCGTAAATTTGATTCACAAGCAGCACACTGGATTTCGGCCACATTCTAATGGCTTGAGTAAGTGATCTATTTGATGTGGACAATCATACATTTTAAAGGACTGAATAAATGTTTCAAATTGCCGAAAATAATGGCTCCCGTTGCAATGAATTTCAATGGCTTGCTGAAAAATCGTCAGGGTTATATTATTATCTGGATGCTGTTATATGGTTTAATGACAAGAGTTTGTTCCAAGGACTTAAGAAATAGTTGGGGGAGGGGGAGCACGGAGTACTTTTCAATTTCAACAGACACCCACCAGACCCAATTCTGAATGTTGATGTGTTTCAGTTAAAATAGAACCAGAAAAGGAGTTGACATTTTATTAAGGTTCATTGATGGAACCAACAACAATCGTGTGTGGTAGCTGCAACAGGTGTCGCAAAATGAGCGCATTAGAGAATGAAATAGTTATGGCAAACATGTGGCGATGTCATGCAAATTAGAACTGGTTACATATCTAGAGGTCCTAAAGAAAGTACACCCAAAACCAGGTTTTAAAACCAAAATGGTATCCATGAGCATTTAAAACCAAAATGGTATGCACGAGTATTTAAAACCAAAATGGTATCCAGGAGTATTTAAAACCAAAATGGTATGCATGAGTATTTAAAACCTAAATCGTATTCATGAGTATTTAAAACCAAAATGGTATTCATGAGTATTTAAAACCAAAATGGTATGCATGAATATTTAAAACCAAAATGGTATCCATAAATATTTAAAACCAAAATGGTATCCACGAGTATTTAAAACCAAAATGGTATCCAGGAGTATTTAAAACCTAAATGGTATTCATGAGTATTTAAAACCAAAATGGTATTCATGAATATTTAAAACCAAAATGGTATGCATGAATATTTAAAACGAAAATGGTATCCATAAATATTTAAAACCAAAATGGTATCCACGAGTATTTTAAACCAAAATGGTATGCATGAGTATTTAAAACCAAAATGGTATCCACGAGTATTTAAAACCAAAATGATGTGCATGAGTATTTAAAACCAAAATGGTGAGCATGAGAATTTAAAACCAAAATGGTTTCCACGAGTATTTAAAACCAAAATGGTATCCATGAGTATTTAAAACCAAAATGGTATGCATGAGTATTTAAAACTAAAATGGTATCAAGGAGTATTTAAAACCAAAATGGTATGCATGAGCATTTAAAACCAAAATGGTATCAAGGAGTATTTAAAACCAAAATGGTATCCAGGGGTATTTAAAACCAAAATGGTATCCATGAGTTTAAAACCAAAATGATGAGCATGAGAATTTAAAACCAAAATGGTATCCACGAGTATTTAAAACCAAAGTGGTGTCCACGAGTATTTAAAACCAAAATGGTATCCATAAGTATTTAAAACCAAAATGGTATCCATAAGTATTTAAAACCAAAATGGTATGCATGAGTATTTAAAAAGCAAAATGGTATGCATGAGTATTTAAAACCGCAATGGTATCCACGAGTATTTAAAACCAAAATGGTGAGCATGAGAATTTAAAACCAAAATGGTGAGCATTTTAATTTAAAACCAAAATGGTATCCACGAGTATTTAAAACCAAAGTGCTGTCCACGAGTATTTAAAACCAAAATGGTATCCATAAATATTTAAAACCAAAATGGTATCCATGAGTATTTAAAACCAAAATGGTATCCATGAGAATTTAAAACCAAAATGGTGTGCATGAGTATTTAAAACCAAAATGGTATGGATGAGTATTTAAAACCAAAATGGTATGGATGAGTATTTAAAACCAAAATGGTATGGATGAGTATTTAAAACCAAAATGGTGTGCATGAGTATTTAAAACCAAAATGGTGTGCATGAGTATTTAAAACCAAAATGGTATCCATAAATATTTAAAACCAAAATGGTATCCACGAGTATTTAAAACCAAAATGGTATCTACGAGTATTTAAAACCAAAGTGCTGTCCACGAGTATTTAAAACCAAAATGGTATCCATAAATATTTAAAACCAAAATGGTATCCATGAGTATTTACAACCAAAATGGTATCCATGAGAATTTAAAACCAAAATGGTGTGCATGAGTATTTAAAACCAAAATGGTATGGATGAGTATTTAAAACCAAAATGGTATCCATAAATATTTAAAACCAAAATGGTATCCATGAATATTTAAAACCAAAATGGTATCCATGAGAATTTAAAACCAAAATGGTATGCACGAGTATTTAAAACGAAAATGGTGAACTTGAGTATTTAAAATCAAAATGGTATCCATGAGTATTTAAAACCAAAATGGTATGCATGAGTATTTAAAACCAAAATGGTATGCATGAGTATTTAAAACCAAAATGGTATCCACGAGTATTTAAAACGAAAATGGTGAACTTGAGTATTTAAAATCAAAATGGTATCCATGAGTATTTAAAACCAAAATGGTATCCATGAGAATTTAAAAACAAAATGGTATGCATGAGTATTTAAAACCAAAATGGTATGCATGAATATTTAAAACCAAAATGGCATCCACGAGTATTTAAAACGAAAATGGTGAGCATGAGTATTTAAAACCAAAATGGTGAGCATGAGAATTTAAAACCAAAATGGTATGCATGAGTATTTAAAACCAAAATGGTATGCATGAGTATTTTAAACCAAAATGGTGAGCATGAGAATCTAAAACCAAAATGGTATGCACGAGTATATAAAACCAAAATTGTATGCATGAATATTTAAAACCAAAATGGTATGCACGAGAACGTGATAAGGTGACTACAACGTGGGCAATAACATATTGGCTAATATTCATCAAAGAATTAATAAAGTGATGCAAAAAATGAAGTTGATTACAAATGTATCTCACAAGAGCTAACCAAGAAATACGGTATACAAGACTATAGACTGACCTACGTTATTCTGAACAAGATAAAGGGTAATTAAGATAACAGTGATGTTAATGCCGTCGTTATCGTGACATTTTCTTTGGTTTCTAATTTTATTTAAAGAAGACACAGCAGCGATTAGCGTTAATATTCAACCAACCAATCGTTTTGTCCTGGTCAAAATTTGAAATTTAAGCAATTTTAACTTGCATAAAACAGATGTACAGATTTTGAATATTCAGTGTGTAACGTCACCTAATAATAATTTAAATTAAGTATTGAAATAACAGAGACTATGGAAAATGATATCTGAATTACCAGAGATGTAAAGATGGCGTAAAAGAAATGGCTGGCATTATCATGGGGGAAACGGAATATACCAGAGAAAACTCAACAAAAAATTATAAATAAATGCGAAAAAAAAAACAATATACAAAGGTTCAAGGTATATTTTTTAAAGTACATTCGCGCCGATTTCTCGATTCTAAATAACGAACGTAATATTAATTTAATTTTAAACCCACCCTCCCCCAAACAATTAAAGCACCTTATCATTGTCCTTCTTCTCATTTTGAACCCTACGGACCGCTCCGTTGGCCTAGCGGTTAGAGCGTCCGCCTCAAATGCAGGAGGCCGCAGGTTCGCATCCCGCCAGAGTCATATCAAAGGCACCAAGAGGTTAGTGTTAGGACTGGTGGGCCTGGTGTCAGGATAATGTGACTTGGTGGGGCATCATGCTCCATGTCTGCGGCATGATGCCACAGTGCTTGACATCACTATAAACTGCCACACTACAGACATCATAGCGATATGACTGTAAAATTGTTATAGCTATATTAAAAATCCAAATCATACACATACATACACACACAAACACACATATACATTTAAACCCTACAGTGAACCTTGATATTGTACTAATATTTAACGAGATATAATTCTTCATCTCTGAAAAGATGCTCTCAGATAGAAAGCTACTATGCATTTGTATGTCTAGACTTGAGACTTAACACTGATTATTCCATGAATAGTGCGACATGACTGTTTGGGAAAATTATCTAATCTGGGATGCATGGGCGGCAACAGTTAGTTATGGGTTTTACTCCTGGCGTTTGATAGACAATATATTGCCAGGACTATTGAAATTCAATTTGATGTTGATTTGCAGATGCGAAAACGTCTGTCTAAATATAATTTTTTTTTATGACGACAAAGAACATAAACTGTATAAAACATTTTAACAGAGCCGCAGCTGTGTTACCACCTACAGTCTTAAAACTAAACTATGGAGCGCGTACTGTTGATTACCCGAGGACATTTTAAGATGATGAAATGAATTCCGTGGAGGACAAAGGCGAGCCGACAGGATGGAGATATTTCATTACGCAAGATAGTGATGGTCTGACAAATGAAAGTATTGTAAAGTTACAAGAAGCAAAAATCACATGTAATCAGCATTTTAGACCCACAGGTACAAAACAATAATTATTACAGGGTATATTTCAGCATTTTCAGACACTGATAAAAAGCGAATATGATATAATTTTAGTACAGTAGGGTTATAACACAAGTGCTCGACGAAAGCTTGATGTTAAGAAGAAAAAAAAAACACAACGATATTCTGAAGGAAAAAACGTCATACATAGTTACAAAAATACCTCAGATTAAACCCATCACTAGTTCTGACATTGGACCCTCTATATCATACAGTATAAGCCTCTTATATAGAATAATATAGAGGATCCAATGTCAGAACGGGGGATACATGAAATCTGAGGTATTTTTTCACTCTGTATAACTTTTTTTCCTTTAAATTATTGGCATTTTTTTCTTAACATCAAGCTCGCGTGGAGCACCTGTGCGTTATGATACTGATGTAAAATTAAAATAATTTATACCAGATTCAACAGTGAAAATTTGACTGTGATATTAGTAGTGAATGTATATTTCTATTACCGTATATTTCATACGCATGAGAGCATGATAGCAACACCCTTTGCATCTCCAGATTAGAAGTCAACGAGTCTTGCTATGAATGTACAAATTAGAACCAAAGACTTGAATTCGTATGATTTCAGAATTGGTCAAGTTAGTGACACGTTAAATAAATGGGAAAAAAAAAGATTTTTTAAGCAGAACAACAAAAGAACAATCATGTTAGAATGGAAATATATTGCATGTTTATAGATGAAGATATGACGATGACCGAAATGACACTCAGCTATCAAGTTCTTGTCTGAAAAATCAATGAAGAAAGTAGTATAGATTTGATTTTCTCTTTAGTTTCCTAATAAAACGGACTATATCTCTCTAAGACACATCACAACATAGGGTGACAAAACTTGTTGGATTGGTGGACAAACCAAAATGATAAGCCGAACTACAGTAAGAAGAGAAAAACGCGTCAAGGAAACACTTACCTGGGTTACAATTCAGACATTTCTGGCTAAGGATAACATTTATAAGGATTACATATTGCCAGTGAGATAAAGGATGTGTCTTAAATCGCGCGCACGAGTATGTGTGTGTGTGTGTGTGTGTGTGTGTGTGTGTGTGTGTGTGTGTGTGTGTGTGTGTGATTTAGATTTTTAACGTAACTTTAACAATTTTTCAGTCATATCGCTTCGATGTCTGCAGTGTGGCAATTTATAGTGATGCATATCACTGGGATATCATGCCGCAGATATGTAGCATGATGTCTCCTCCCTCAGTGACACTATCCTGACACCAGGCCGACCAGTCCTATTACTAACCTCTTAATGCTGAGCGCCAAAAAACTTTACTTTCTTTTGAAATCGGAAAATCTCCTTCCTGCAGTTGTTGAAAACTTACTAAAACCTTTCTTCACGTTTACCGATGGAAGTTGTAGAGATTTGATATTGCCCATGTACAGAAAACGTTGATTCACCTGCTATCCTCCAAATGTGTTTAAAAGTGTTTAAAAGTTGACTGTTCATTAAATAATCCAAAGGGAATAACTAAGAATTGAAAGAAGCAAAAACTTATAGTAGATGATGTACTTTCTTCGTCTTCAATGACATGCCTATTTGGCACTGTTCATAATTAAAACCGATACTTCACTGAAAAATTAAAATCACCATCTTACTACCCTGAGAGATAACATCACTGACCATTTACAAGTTTCTAGATATTCTCGAAGAAAGTAGTAATTACTGTGATCAGCCTCTGGATTTCATCATGTTCATAATAGATAAAGTCAGTTTAGGATTACGGCTAGAACAATAAATTGATTTGGTAGACAAATTCAGGAGAATTATGGCTTCTAAGTAGTGTTGTAGACTCGGGGTTACCTTAGCAGTGCACCACGAATGGATGGCAAATATTTGCAACATGTGATGTCTCTATTTGAATTTAAATCTTATTCTGTTTGAGTATAATTCTACATTGTGTAGCTATAGAGCAATTGGTTGTGGAGAGTTACTTCTTGATCACAGAAGTTTACTGCTAAATAGCTTCTCCATAAATTTGACAACGCACGTCTTCGTAGCCATATTCTCAAATGTCTTAATTCCATGAATTCAACCGAAACTTAATTACAAGTTAACTAATCCAATACTTTTTTTTATGTCTACAAGAAATCCTATTGGCTTAATTTATTACCATATCGATCCCCTGACCAATCTGTTCTTCTCAAAGTTTAATATTTTACATTAAAAAAACTTTTCATGAGCGAATTGTATGCCCATATTTTCTTATTTAATTGCAAGTGAATGTTTCCATTGTATGATTACTTCAAAGAAGCATCTTGACGTATATGTTAAAGATATAAACATTAAGCTGAACAAGGAACGAAACTAAAAACAAAACAATGCTGTTCAACGAAACTACTAATTTACTATGAGAAGGAAACGGGAAATAACTGGATTGAAATATGGGAGAAAAAAGGAGGACGCTGATTTAACTATTAAAAACATATCATAAGCATATTTTTTTACGTCATAAAGCACTACATAGTTCTAAACGGTCTTATTAAATCAGTTGTCCGGTTTGAGTATTGTTCCTATCACATGCTCATTATTCCTGGATCCGACAGTGGTTATTTTCATGAAGTCTTTCATTCAATTAACAGGTATTAATGACAGACTTTATCCGCACACATTTCTATTTAACCACACTATTGTTAACAAGCATAAACAGACGGTGTGGTCATGACATCATCGAAAGATATGTACACCATTCGAAAAAGGGACCACTCCTGTAGCCAGAGCGTCTGCCTTGGATGCGGCCGAGCCATGCCAAAGACTTATAAAAACGATATTAACAATTGCTTTGCTTGGCGTTCAGCATTAAGAAGTTGTTGTTAGGACTGGTCGGTCTGGTGTCAGGACAAGGTGACTGTGTGGGACATTATGCTACATGTATGTGGCATGATGCTCCAGTGCTAGACATCACTATACACTATTCTGCAGACATCGTAGTTATAGTAGTCATCTAGTTATATGACTGGACACGTTTTAAAGCTACGTTAAAAAATCCACATCACACGCACCAGAACAAGGACGTTGTGAAACCACGTGAAACAATATGAGTCAAAACACAAGACGTAATTACATATAAAAGCATTTGAATAATACTCGATTTAAAAGAAATTGGTCCTAAACATCGTTGGGTTCCAATAAAACCAGATAACATCGACGTTTTGTCACATTATAAGCCATTTAATTGTACTCTCGAACTGAGAAACTCTATTTTTTTTTTTTCGATGTGCACGAATTATACCGATGTTAATAGGTATCATCAGTGGGTTAACACATGTCAGTAGATAGCTGGAACACAAGATTTAATGACGTCACCCTTGTAAACATACGCCAACACCACTCTGTGACGTGACAGATACAGTAATTACCCTTACATGACACGCTATTTACATTTCGCGTTTGGTATGGTGCATTATTCGGCCTTGCGTTTACAAGTATTTTTTTTCATTAAAGGCGTAACACATGTACATTATTTTTTTTACAAGTCCGTGACGTATGCTTACCAGTTAATATGAAATCCAGAGCAGCTGTATTGTCTTTAGCCGACTTCATCCTTCAAAGCATCAGTGCCCTAGCTGATCACCAATAGTCACCAGTCTTATTTGTATCTACTGCACGATTTTTTTGTCTCAGATCCGCTTAAAATAAGCAGGCCCGCTTGTCTTCTTTCTCGCTCGAATCAATTTATCAGCCACCTGCATTTTTTTTGTTTTTATCAGATCAGTCACTAAAGGAATTTGTCGAGTGTATCGCATTGCTACTTTTAGAGTTCTCTCGAAAAAGAACGGAATTACGAGCGAGTTTGATGACTGAATTAAGGGGCGGAATCTCTTTATTCTAGACTGAATACTTGAGCGTCGTTTAAACCTAACATCTTTACTATTTCAAAGAGCGGTTTATCTGAGATCGCGTTTTGTTTTTGTTTTTTTTTTTGTTACCAGCCATTTTCTTCCTTCCACTCTTTATTTGAACGGGAAGAATGGTGAAATTTAACGATAAACGGCGGCAGTGGGGCTTTAAGGAACTGTAGTGATATTTCACTCCCATGTTTTTGTAAATACGCCTTGAGAATTAAAACATAAAAATACAAAAATCCCCATACGAACAAAAAATACCGATTTAAACAGATTTAGTAAAAGATTCCTCTATAATAAATGGATC